GAAAGGTATGTGTTGTCTCTCTCCATGGTGCTTCTCATGTCTGGTCAAGGCCCTCCTCGGGGAGGCTGTCTAGGGATGGGAAAGGTAAGTGGATGGTAACAACCAATTTCAGCTCTAATTATGTATATATTTGCTTGGAAGGGCATTTCTCTCCTAATAAAGCTACAGCAGCCAAGAGGGAAGTAAACTGTTAAGGAATGTTTTTAGAAAAGATTATTCCTGTGAGGGTTCGATAAGCATTGGCCAATTATGATACTTCCTAGCAGGTGGTTATTTTACATAATTACAGCACTGAAGCAAATCAGCTTCTTAATGCCCACCTATGGGATGCCCAGTAATGGGCGACCATAGGGAGCTATATAGGATGATAGACAGTGTACTGGATTGCACATCAAGAGGGAAGGCTGGCTTCCAGTGCTCTCTCTGTACCTAACCAGGGACTCAGAGCAACTCGATTCAGCTTTCCAGATCTGTGTTCCTGTTTCCTAAATTGGGGTTTTGGGGTGGTATTATGGACTGAATGTTTGTGTCCCCTCCAGATTCATATATTGAAGCCCTAACCTTTAATGTATTTGTATTTGGGGACAGGCCTGCAAGGAGATGATAACAGTTAAATGGTGCCTTACGAATGGGCCCTAATAAGAGGCAGAGACACCAGAGCTCCCTCTCTCTCTCTGCCAGGTGATGATGTGACGATACAGCGGGGAAGACTCTCTTCCTATAAGCCAGAAAGACAACCTTCGCCAGAAACCAAACATACCAGCATGTTTATCTTGGACTTGCTAGCCCCTAGAGTGCTGAGAAAGAAATATGTGTTGTGTAAGCCACCTGGTCTATGATATTTTGTCTGGCTGGCCAAGAAGGTGGTGATGACCAGCTAATTAAAATGACATACTTGTTTGTAGTTTATAAAGTACTTTTACAAACTCATTTTCTTAGAGAAACTCTAAGAGGTGGGAAGAGCAGAGTATTATTTTACAAATATGGAAACACCTCAAATCACAAGGCTACCATAAGGCTACTAAGTGGAATTCAGTCAGATGCAAACCTGAATCTTTGAGCACCTTTAGCTGTAAATGGCTGTGGTTTTCTTGTTTTTATCATCATTACATTGGATATCTATGAATTTTAGTTTTTAGGTTTCCAGGTAACTCCCAGGTAAAGAATGTCAGATTTATCACAAGTGATACATATATTTTTTCTCTTCAGAACTACAAGAGTTGTTTCCTTTGACTAGATAGTCTCAAAGGTCTAGATCAGCAGTGAGAACCGAGGATTGAGTTGTTGGGCCCTACTTGGACCTGACCTGCAGAATCAGAAATTCTAGGGGGTGGGTGGGACCGAGCAATTCCTGAGAAGCCCTTAACGGGATTCTGAGGCTGCTCAATTTGAGAACCGCAGTTCTGATCATGCACACCTTTGTTAAAGGTTGACATCTGACATTTCCCTGCCTTATTGTACTTACGGGTATGCAGCTGCAACTCTGAGTCCTATAATCAATCTACGGCATACTGTTAAAACTATGTTGAAATGCTCGAACCTACAAGTGTATCCTCTTTACAGTGACAATATTCTATAATTTTGTGTTAGCCTTCGTTACTTCCTTTGTATCTGCTTGGAATTTGGAAACATTTTAGAAAAAAAGTTATCTTGGTCAGCATATCACAAACTTTGAATTAAACTGACTCTATTCTAATTAAAATAGTAATTTCAAAAAGATTTAAGTTACTATTTATTCAAAGTGGCTAATGTTTTTAATCACTTACGCAGGGTACTTGACCATCTACTACCCCACACTGACCCCTGACATCTCAGTAACTTCAAAGGAAATTCACCTGTACCTGAGATCTATTCCTAAACAAGAGGCACCCCCATTCAATCAGGAAAGAATATTTTAATAAATAATAAAAATAACCAAAATACATATATAAAATTTATTTTAATATTTATCTTAGAAAGCCAAATAAAGAACTAATTCTATTATTTTAATTATATGTAAATGTACAAATGTATATTATATATGTTACATAATTATACATATAATGAAATATATTTATATCAAATGTCTGGATTTTAGAGGTATAAAGATTTTTATCCAATGCATCCTTTGACTACTTTCCTATGCTTGGAGTTTGAAAACTAGGGATTTCTGGAAGAGAATATGGACTTTAATGTCAACATGGTCCATTTACATTTAAATGACTATAGAAGTGTGTGGGTGTGTAATTACATATTATGTGGCACCTCTTATTACTTTAGGACATCAACACTAACCTAAGAATTCTCTGGAACATTTTCCTATGTATCTCAAACAAATCTTGCCACTAAAATTTCACAAAGAGAAAAGCACAATATTGCCTTTTAAGAATAAAACCTACACATTTCCAAAATTACTTTTTCTCATAGAGAAATAATAAAGAAATCACCTTTTACCCCTTAAATGTGGGCAGCCAGAGTAAATAAAATCCTCATACTCTATGCTGCTTGTTATTAATGTGCTTACATAAGCAAAACTGTGGGCTTTAAGTCATAAGACTTACAAATCACATGACTGATAAAATGGCATGTAGCTTACACAGCGTTTGTAGAGTGACAGCTTCTGAATGACAGTTTCAATGAGCTTAGTGGACTTCTGACCATCACAGCACTCCAACTATTTTATTTATCTTCTTTAGATTTTCTTTTGGTACCATTTACTGAGATAATTTTGTAACTGTATGAAGATTGACTAACAAATTTCTGCCATGTTTCTGAAAAGACATATGGAGACTAAACTGAACATAAAGATTCCTCCTCCCCTGACAAAATATGTATAATAATTATGAGATGAAGCAATATTAGAAAAAAAGTATTTCACACACATCCACCCACAAACACACATGCACTTTTAATGTTGATCTCTTAAACTCAGTAAGAATTTTTAATAGTGTTATAAAGACTAATTAGAGTGTTTTCCCAAATATTTTACTTTGAGGTGTCAATGCTGTCATTGTTTCTACCTAGGATTTACTCATTACATCAACACCAAATAAACCTTCCCCAAAAGGAGGGACTACTTTTTACTGCCAACAGCAAACACCAAAGCCAACTCATATTCATAATTACTCATCTTTTAAAATATGTTTTGACATGAATGACTCAGCAAAGCTGGGTTACTGCCAAATGGTGCCAACTGGTCCAGTGGCACCAGAGGAAACATGAGAACTAGAGAGTCAACAGTGACTGAGAAACTCAATCTTCCCTCATCTGATCCAGGTAGAAAACTGTTATTTTCTGAAGAAGCAGGAGAGTAGTTTCTAATTTTTAAAAGATTCTTTAACAGTTAACAAAATGTGTTTAGGCACAACAATATAAATTTGTGAAAAGTGCAACAACAGAAAAACAACAACTCTCTTTTCTGAATCCCCGAATTCACTTAAAACAAAAATAAGCCTCAGGAAAAAATGAAGAAAAGAAAAAAAGCAGCTCTGGCAGTAGAACAACACTAAAGAGCTACAAAAAGAATGGGAATTTAACTTCTTCATGATTAAGAGAGAAATAAAAAAATAACACTTTTCATTTTCATAGAGATATGTATGGGTATGTGAATTCTCATAATATACTCAGTTGTATTTTACTTTTTTTACGTTTTCCAGGGAGGTTCAGTCCTTCCATCAGAATGCCATGGTATATGGGAAACAGAGATCACACACCCAAAGAAATTAATCTGACACAGTTAAAATGATAGCTAACAGCCCAGCAGAGCACTCAGGCTCCGGCCCCACTTATTAACTGAACTGACAACTTGGCCCTAAGCAGAAACACAGGGCCAAATACAACATTCTTACACCCTGCTTTACTCAGGAGCGGCGGAGTGAAGATAAGGCAAGAAAAGCCTGCCTGTAGTTTGAGTGAACCCCGCAGTCTGGACATACTCTGCACCTCCTGGGGAGATGCTTTGTTCGGCCAGTTTTCCCTGGAATAGTACCTTCAGTAATCACAATTACTCCAGGCCTAACAGGCCAGTCTGTAAGTCAATTGTTTCTGGTTGCTCTCTTCTGATGGTCATTTTCTCTTTTATTCAGAAACAGACACAATGGCCCCTTTAATGCAATCACCATGATGCAAAACAAATGGCATGATTAGGAAACTGTCCAAATTCAACTTGGCTTTCTGTAACTTGCTGACTGCCTTCATTCCAATAGCTTCATCTATTCAGATCTCTGAATTATTTCTCTATCTCTACCTGAACTTATGTCGAAATCATCAGAATCACAGCCACTTACACATGAAATAGATACGTAGTTCTCTGTCTCCTTGATAATTAACAAAGACGTTAAGGGCTAATGCCAATTCCGTGACATGAGCTGGATACCTTCCATTTCCTGGTATGCCATTGTTTATGGTCTATTAAGCAGTTTTCATTTCACCTTATGGGCCCGTATAAAATACAAGCTAGATGTTTCTCAAATTACAAGAAGTTTTAAAGACTATTAACTAGCTTCTTTTTTGGTTTGTTTTGAAATTTGAACTCTCTAAATTTACTGCAGACAGTCTGTGAAAGTAAACTGGGCAATATGTTTTAAACTTCTCAGTTTTTGAAAGTCATTTATCTCCCTCCTCCTAAATTATAATTGTTTTACACTAATAGTAGCATTTCTCATTTTCAAAATAAGATACCTACTGGTTCTTGTTTAAATATTTTTTCCAAACCAAACTGTCATTGTTGTACTGATTCATTTTTTCAAGTAGGGTTTTCAATTCCCAAACATTCTCTTATTTTGCTCTGTTTTATTTTTCTTCATTCTTACACACAGGACATACATGCTGACATCATACAGAAGTCAGTGCATTAGAGGCCTTAGACAGACAGGCCTAGCTGCTCTCAAAAATCTATCTTATGCAGGCCTCAGTTAGTCAGGCTAATACAGCTGCCAGGGCAGAGCTGAAAGCTCAAAGGGCTCACAGTTGTCAAAAATCTACAAGGCAACAGTAGAAAATGTATGTAAGCATTCACTTACCTGCTTTTCATCGACAATTATTTCCAGGTCTTCGTCACTGCTTAATTTTCCATATCCTTTTTCTTTACTTTTCTTGTGAAAGAATAATTTTAAATGATCATTTAGTTTCTTTCCATTAATAATGTTAATTCCTACTTAATACTTTTTAAAGATAAAAGTCTGTACTTAACCTTGTTCACTAGTCATAATACATCATTCTTTATCCCAACCTCTCATGGACAGTAGCAAATATTTTTATTAAACTGCTGGCTTCTGCTTAGCCTCTCCCATCCAAATTACACCTTTAATCCTTTTCTGAATATTGTTATGCTTCTTTTTCAATTCTATAGTTTCAGAAAAGATTCTTTAATAATTCAAGATAAATAATAAATTCCTTAGAGTCCTAGGGTATTTTTCTTAAACACTGAAGCTGCATTTAGTGGTCATATTATGCTTAAGACTTCAGGTACTAAATATTTTCTTTTAATCCTTCATATATTTTTAAGAATAAGCAAGTAAAACACCACTCAGATAATGAATCTTCAGATTTTCTATGTGCTGTGCCATGCTTAGTTGCTTAGTTGTATCTGACTTTGCAACACCATGCACTGTAGCACACTAGGCTCCTCTATCCATGGGGATTCTCCAGGAAAGGAAATACCAGAGTGGTTTGCCATGCCCTCCTCCTTGGGATCTTCCCAACCCAGAGATGGAACCCAGGTCTTCTGCATTACAGGCAGATTCTTTACCATCTGAGACACCCCGGAAGCCCAAGAATACTGGTGTGGGTAGCCTATCCCTTCTCCAGGGGATCTTCCCAACCTAGGAATTAAACCAGGGTCTCCCGCAATGCAGGCTGATTCTTTACCAGGTGAGCTACAAGGGAAGCCCCAGATTTTCTATATTTGCCTATAAATTTGATGAAAACTAACATTGGAAGAGACAACTCAGAAATAATTTTTAAAAGGTAAATAAGAAAAATTTCAAAATTAGATAGCTTAAAAAGTTGGAAGAGTACAGGCCATTTAAAAAAATATTCTTTATCGGCATTTTTTCCTCCATCTATCTCTCCCCATAGCAAAAGTTATAAAGTTAGAAAACAACACAGATCATGCCAACAATTTTACTGTTGTGTTACAGGAGAGAGATAATATGTCTGAGTCATCTTTTTCCCCCTTTCTCCCAGTGCAAGGGTTAAAGGAAATACCAGGAATGACAGTTACTTCTTCATAATTTCAGAAATTATTAGTACCTTGTAGAGGACCAGTAAAAAAAAAGAAAAGAAAATTCACTACCTAATTAGCTGTAATCCAAGATTGCTATCTTTAAAAAAGAAAAAAAAAAAAACAAACCCTGCTCAGTATTAACTATATCAACTAGAATTAAGGGAATTATAAATACTTATGTTTGCATCCACTGTGCCACATTAGGATCCTTGTCTCATTATGGGAAGAATTACATCCTTCAGCAAACATGACAAAAATCTTCTTTACATTATGGGACATGATTCTTGTCTGTTTTCTCTCCTATAACATTTCAAAAGCAGATTTCCACATTTCCCCATTCCCCCACCCCTGCAACAAACATACCTCCTATTTTTGTTTTTTCCCCTGTGATAGAGATTTCCTAAATATTCAAGTACTAGGATGCATAAATAAAATCTGAATTCTCATTCATATATTAATGAGTTTAGCCACTTAGAACAGAACAGATGGCCACAGTATTTCTATTATTATTCTTGTCCTCATTTGAGGTTCCATTTCAAGACTGATGGAAAACAAAAAGAACAAGGTTGGTTTCAATCAAACTGACTTCCTATCACTTTGCTTTAGTATCCCTTTAGTCCACTGGTCGCCGTAAGATATTGTCTAGAGACCCTCTAATGCAAATCATTTAGAAATGGCTTTACTGAATATTGATCCATATACGTACCAAGTAGCTTATTTGCATGACCCGATTTCTGGACAAAAGGACATTAAGTAGAGATGGAATAGGTGTCTTTCCATCCATTTCACTGTCAGACATCCCAGAATTCTTTGCACCAGCCGCAGTGGCTTCATTGCCAGAACTTGCTGACCAGAGAACCACAGATCTTGCCCAGCAATGGTATATATAATGCGCCACACTAACCAAAGTATCCGCGGATCATTGTTTTGACTTTGTAAACATTGTGAAATCAATGAAACTAAAATTTCTTCTTTTCGAGCTAATATTTATCCAAGTACTGCCATGTTCCCTGACTGATGTTCTAGTTTAATGCTCAAAAACCCCCTCCATCTATTATTAATTATACACATTTTTATATCTCATCTTATGCATATGGACTACTCAGCTTCTCTGTCAAAAAAGTTTTCAACTTTCCTTTCAATGTCCCACCCCAGACTATCTTGTGATTAGCAAATCACTACTAATAGATATAACAATGTTGGCATTCACAGAACATAATTCAAGATTGCCCTTCCTGCCAGTACAGATTCTACTTCTCCAATTTAATCACAACTCCTTATCTGGTTTAGTACTAAATTTCCCCAGAAAGAGGCTAGATCAGGGAAGGAGATTATATTCCCAACTACTGTAAACAGAAGTTGGCATTTTCCAAGAGTAGGAGGAGGCATTTACAGCTCTGGGTTTGTACTTGAGCTCCTAGTCTCCAAACAGCAGACAACTGTACACAGTCAGAAGCTTTCCAGTTTTACTCTAGAGTTAAGCAATACTTTCTAGCTCACCCCATAACCCCACGGGGATTAAGCCTTTTCTAAGCCATCATGGTTATTCGCTCACTTACTGCTTATTTCTAGTGCGAGTATAATCCTCTTTCAAGCACTCAGCTTCCCACTTGGACTGCTTAGATCAGCCAGCCCAGGCAGGGATCTTCAGCTCTCCTCCCTCCTCCCAGCTGGGAATCCCTGTCTTCTATCTATGCACTTGGTCAAGCACAAAAAGCAACTCCATAGCTTCTGCGTGGTCTTTCACACTGGTCAGAGGACTGAACTAGAAGGAGAAAGAAAGCTAACCTCCCCACTGGCCAAGCGTGAGGAGGCGGGGCTTCTGGGGGAGGAGAAGTCAGAAGGAATCACTTCCCGTGCTCCTCCCACCTCCCTGCAGCCACTGGAACTGAGCATTCCCACTGAGGCAGTGAGGTTAGGCCCCTCTCCTCCTCAGCCTGAGAGTATGCTACCTACTGAGAGCAGAGTTTTGTGCACCGCCCCACTACATGCAGCTGAGAAGGCAGCATCAGTTCTGTGAAGTTGACACAGTGAGGACCTCGAGGTGGGAGAAGGGAGGAAAGAGAAAAATTGCTGAAAACGTCTCCCACTCCGTGAGAAGCTTTCAGCTCAGGATAAGTGTCCAATGTCTGACACTTCAAATACAGTATCTCCCCTCCTCCCCACACCATTATAAACCCTTTCTGAATAACTGGAAGGAGAACTATCTAGTTATATTTTTAGTACTGACGATTTTTTTTAATATCACTGGATCAGAGTTGCTGTTTTCTTAGGAACATTGAGCCTGATCATCTTTCTTCTCTGTAAATGTTCCATCTCTCTTTAACCTTATCTACTTCTACAAAAGTGAAACAGAAAGGTGGGTATAGTCACTTGAATTAAATAAACCATAAAACTTGGAAAATGTATAGAAAATCACATAGCCATGGATATAGAATATATTATGGAAGAAAATTTTGCAAGTAAGTAACAAAACAATAATAAAGTCTGATGGGACAGAGACCTGGAAGATGAAGCACCCAATGTTCTTTTTAGAAGAAGACTTACAAGAGTTTATGAAAAAGTGAGAGTTTTAACTGAAAGCTTCCAGTTGTGTATGGGTTGAATTAAAAGAACTCAACATATTTACTAGGAATGGAATATATAAGGGAAATTTTGAAATGGAAAGGAATATATGATTTAATTAATTGTGCCAATTAGCCTCAATTACAATTTTTGCCTAACTATAGACATGAAAATAAGTGTAAAGTTTTACATATAAATATTTCAAAAAATTTTATTGCTATTTCTTATTCAATACTGCAATGTGATAAACAGTAGACCTGATATTTATTAAAGCAAATGTTAATGAAAAATATATAATATACACAAAAGAAACAAAGGCTATCCTACTCTTTTCTTCGTGGTTGTCTGTATTCAATTCCTATCTTATTTTTCCTATCTTCAATCCCTTCTTCTCTACCACAGCCTTCTTCCTGCAGCCTACAAAATTGCTAGGTTTTTCCCGGTCCTAAAAGATGATTTCCTCACTTCTGCTTTTCCCCTAAAGGCATTCATTTAATCTCTCTTATCTCTTTATCATCAAACTTGAAAGAGTGGTCTGTGCTCACTAGCCATCAGTTCAGTTCAGTCCCTCAGTAGTGTCCGACTCTTTGTGACCCCATGGACTGTAGCACGCCAGGCCTCCCTGTCCATCACCAACTCCCGGAGTTTACTTAAACTCATGTCCATTGAGTCAGTGATGCCACCTTCCTTTCTCTTCACTCCTAAGCCAATCACAATCAGGTTGCAATTTACTGTAATTGCATTCTTGACAGTCACCAATGGACTCTTAATTATTAAATTCTATAGCAGCCCTTTTTCAGAGTTAATTGTATGAGGTGGTTCAGTCACTAAGCCGTGTCCAACTCTTGCAACCCCATAGACTGTAGCCTGCCAGGCTCCTCTGTCCATGGGATTCTCCAGGCAAGAATACTGGAGGGGGTTGCTGTTTCCTTCTCCAGGGGATCTTCCTGATCCAGGAATTGAACCTGGGTCTCCTGAATTGCGGGCAGATTCTTTACCAACTGAACTACAAGGGAAATCCTATAATTGTATGAATTAGTCCCAAATGCAATTTATGACTGACTATAGATGTCAAAATAAATGCAAATATTACTTCTTTCAGTGATCAGGTCTGTATCATGATCATGTATTTTCAGAAATATCTTTGCTGTTATTTACATTATTATAGCTGTTAAATGGTATTGCCAGCAGCTGAATAGAGGATCAATGAGAGAGGGGAGGATTGGGAAAGGAGATGGTTGTGCTAAGAAGATACTTGCTGAGTTTGTAGTGCATTTGGAAGGTTCATCCAAGTGGAAAGATCCAGTTGTCCAGTTGGATATATGGGTCTATATTTTTAGAAGAGAGATAAAGACAAGACATATGGATTGATGGAGATTAATTAAAGTTGTCAGAGAGGTCGAGCTCATTAAAAAAGAAAACGTGGAGACAAAAGAGATAAGGACTAAGGCTGGCATCCTGGGGAATCGTTACATTTAAAGAATGGGCCAAAGAGAAGAACCCAATGAAGGGAAGTGGAATAGGAGTGGGCTTAGGTGTAGGAGCAGAAACTCAATGCAAAGGACATACAGTTGTAGATGGTGTCAAATGCTGATGGAAGGTTAAAGAAGGAGGCAAACTGCATACTTTCACTGTATTTGGCATTTTGGAAGTCATCAAGGACGTTAGGAAAAGAAGAATTAGTGATGGTGGAACCAAGATTAAAGTAAATTAATGAATACACTGGTGGTAATGGTGAGAGAGGACTTATTTTCTCTTAGAAAGCTTGAATGAAAAGGGAAAGAGGGACAAATTTGTTAAGGTGGTAGATATTATGTCCTTAAGTTACAGCTTTAAAGAGAGAGAGAGAAATAGAAAGAGAGAGCAAGAATGCTAGTGCAAAGACAAAAAACACAGGGCAAGAATACTGGGAAAGTTATAGCTTTCCCTCCTTCCCTTGTGTAAAGGTATTGAGTATGTTCATAGTTCAATAAACAGCAGTAATGAGAGTAAAAATATAGATACCAGAGGGTGAAGGGGAATAATTCATGAAGCATGAAAGTAAGAACAAAGTGCTTTTGGAGAGAAAAAAAAGTGCCTGTTTCTCTTAAAATTATAATTATGTGATATATGTTTACAGAAGAAAAATCTAGACATATATTTCAAATATCAAGAATCTTGCTCTCTGGGTGATAGAATTACACATGATCTGTATTTTCTCTTTATACTTGGGAGTTCTTCTTGAAATAAGAATGAATTTCTTTTATAACAATGATAAAAAACAAAACAAAAAATGTGATTGCTTGAGAGATCCATAAATTTGCCATAGAAAAGATTCATTTAAAGTCTACATTGCAAAAAAGTGACTGGGTTTGGGCTTTACCTTTCCCTTACTACATTTCTGGAGGAATAAATGCTAGTTTGTTTAAAATATAGAGATTCATGCTATGGTTATTACTTCTGACCCTTGTGGCAAGTGTGGTGGGATGGTGAAGTGGACTGTTTCGTTTATTGCATTTAATACGCCCCTTTTCTTTTCACTCCCCCTTATGATCTTAAACTTACAGTTTTTTTTTTATATCATTTTGGCCCCATGTCCTTTCTTTTAAAAAAAAAGGTCCACAGTGTCAGCACACCTCCCAACACTACTGCTGTGGATACAAAGAATTAACGAATGGAAAAAACAGAGAATGAGGGAGAAGGAATTATCCCCAAAGTCTTGGACTAAAAGCTTGAGAGTTTCTCCATTTAGGACATAAGCTGAGACAGACCTTTTTGAGCTGGGAGCATTCTGAAATAAATTATTTTTTCTCTTAAAAAAAAAGAAAGTCACCACCTTACCAATTAAAAAGACAATTTGCAGATCTTTTATTTTTCTTTCATATGAAGGAAATAAACCTTCTGAAGAGAAAATGTCATCATTACAGAGAATCATTTACAGAAGGGCTTACACTTGGCATTTTTCAAAAACCATTTTTTTCTTTAAAAAAAAAGACATTCACAGTTGTGTTCTTCCCCCACCAACTGTGATGTTATGGCAAAAAAAAGAGCCACAGGGTGCAATTTTTTAGTTTTGGGCCAGGCTTGAGCAAACATAACATATGGTAATCAAACTCAGTTCTAAAGGTATATTGCTAAGTGAAAAAAGAAATGTAAGCACAACAAATATGTTGATGCATTTTAAACCATGTTTTAAACCATAAGCATATGGCCAGATATTTAGTAATATTTTTATTTTAGGCTAAGTCTGTTTGGGAAAATAGGTACTCCAGTTACTTACTAGCTGAACAATAAAATGGCAGTGATACACAATACAATTTTCACCCTTGGCTTTGAGGTCCCTCCTTAATGCTGCCTTTTCTATCTTTAGAGTGGCTCTTGGTCTATAAGAGAATAACCTGAAGCGTGTTAAAGCTTCTTAAAATTATTTTTATATTTTCCAAGTTTTTCAAAGATGCGAATTCAACAGAAATATCCATTAAGATCACTCAATCATATGTCATTGTACAATGATATTTTCTCCAAAACACAAGTTCGGTATTAGACATACACCTTCTTACATATCTTTTCCAATATTTTATCAAATTTTATTAAAAAATCAAACATACAGAAAAGTCAAAATAATTTTATGGTGAGCATCTGTATACTTAATACCTAGATTTTACCACTAACATTTTATTACACTTGTTTTTGGATATCTGTTCATCTGTCTGCTGATTTTAAGGCTAAGTCTAATTGGGAAAGTATAGTACATGTAGTACATATAATCACATTTTTACAGATTCTTTCCTCCAAGGTTTATTTAATTTTAAACCTCAGAAAGGCAAAATCATTGGTTTAGTAAGCTTCCAAAATAAGAACACTAAAAGTTTAGGATTTGTTACCCTACAGAAAATCATTACTTTCATTTGAAAAGCAAATCAGTGAACTACATTTCTATCATGTGCTAGTGACAAGAACTATCACTAGGATTAGGGAAGAGGATTTCTGATCAAAGTGCTGGGATTTTTACAGTTCTCAGTCAAAAGCAAGTGATCAAACAACTCAATATTTTGAAACAAATCCAGGGTGTGATAGGCAGTTCCAGTTGATTTTAATCATCATGTCCTCAATTTCATACCCTTTGATCATACCCTGCAAATATCTTCACTTTACTCTGGGCTGTGCAGTAAGTATTTACCTCTGGTACATCCAACAAAAGTAGGA